GTGTGTGTGTGTGCGCACACGAGAGAGAGAGAGAGAGAGAGAGAGAGAGAGAGAGAGAGAGAGAGAGAGAGAGAGAGAGTTATCAATTTTGCTATTAAGACCTGTTTTTTATATATATATTCAATAATTCAATTTGAGAAATTCCTGGAATTTTTTTTACCTGTTCCATGCTGAAGTTCCTGGGCAAACGTAAAATGGCACACTACAATAAAAATTAATTTTTTAAATTACAGGAGAACTAGAACTACACTGCACAGTGATGATAAAAATGTATAGATATTAAATCAAAACTTTGAAGATGCAATTACTTCTCAGCAAGACAAATAGTAACATAAGTTTTTCAAAGACGAAAAAAATATAATTTTTAAAAACTAACCCAGAATCTGCATATGGTTTACAGAAATGTCTAAAGCTGTAGGATGCCTGAAAATCATAAAAAATGCTTCTTTATTATTAACTTCTAATTGTGAATAGAATAATTTCTGTTTTTCTTTTTTTTTTTTTAATAAACAAATGTTTTGTCTGTTTTATTCCTTGGAAATATTTGCAATATTCAGCATAATATTTCAAACCCATATCATTTAAGACAAGACCAATGTATATTCCAATTGGAAAAAAAACCCTAGGAGCACTTTAACTCCCTCTTACCTGGAATCCATATTCCATGAGCACAATATTCCCAGGTAATCTCTGTAGAGATACAGGTGCCTCATGGAAGCCGTAGGCACACATCTGGATCATGTAGTCTGTAGGGATGGGGAGGAGGAGGGACGTGTCCACAGAGTCAATCAGCTCCTCCTCTGATGCTGTGTCTGGGAAGAAACTTGTAAGGCGAGGACCCAGGTGAACCACTCTGTAATTATTAGATTAGACAGGTTTAGATATCACCATCACCTTCATCATTTGTGTATTTCTGACTAGTAATCTTATTGTTTAAAAGGGTGTTTCCATACATCTGTGCATTCTCAGTGCTAAACCATAATATATTCCTTATAAGTATCCTGATCTATATAGTAAGACCAAGTTTTTAATAAATTATTGAAATGGAAGCTGGCACAAATCTACTATTTCCCTCAACAACAATAATTTGAAACTGAAAACATGTTAAGCATTTACAGAAAAATAATTCATTTTTCATTATTTCAAAAAATGCAATTTTACCAAAATCTTACTTTGCTGAAGAGAAGCATGCCAAGAAATCTTGAAATGTTGCATGGAGTTGCTTCAGATCTTCATAGGAGACTTTAGGTACCACATCTAGCACAGGCAGTAGTGATATACAGTGCTTTCTACAGAACATGTCCAGGCTAAGAAGCTCACTGTAGATAAAATATGAGGTAAAATTGTAATGATAAGTTTAAAACTAAGCACGGCAAACAAATATACAAAAATAACACCAGTTCATTTTCTTTAATCATACCTTTTCATCAAGATTAAATCATTTAGTAGTCCTTTGCTAATGTTTAGCACAATTTACAGATACATACACAGGGAAAAATGTCTTTGCCTTTATTACATAACTACTTCTCATTTGCATATGAAAAAGAAAATGCTTCGTTTTTTTCGATATACGTACAACTAAAAAGAGTAATTTTGCTTTCTCTCTGATCAAGTTTAATTTTAAAATGATGGTACCCACCTTCTTTGGTAACAGAACTGCCAGTGGGGTTCTTCTGGCACAGAGAATCTGGCGTACAGGTGGACCTTGACCAAGGAAAAAATACATTGAGATTTCTATTATTATACATAACTGATGGTCATTAGGTTTTTAAGTTAGTATTTCGGTTTATTGATCATTTCATTTTTCAATGTGTAGAAGTAGAGATGTAGAAGTGTAGTAGTTTATGTATAACAAGGCAGCAAAGCTGTCAAATCTACAGACAAAAAGCAGGAAATAACAAAATAGGCTACTGTCAATTCTGATGCAAAAGTACATTATGTTAAACTGCAAATTCAACATCAAATTTTAATTATGCTCAACAGGTAATACCAATGTAAGTAAAATGTGAAACAAGCATAAGGCTTCAGGCCCATGGGAGTTCAAGTTCACACTTAGAAAATGTAAAACTTTCAGAAAAAGAAGTCAATTAGACTGCTTTTCCAACTCAGGCTGCATTTTAGTCCTGTATTTCTTTTTTGAAAGTTTGGCAATCATAAGTAACATGGTTTACCTATAATGGTCATCATGGCAGCAGCACCCAAAATTGTGTTTTCTTCTATTCTGATGCAATATTACATAATGGTTAACTGCATAATGACAATCAATTTTTAATAACAAAATATATGTATCATGGATTTTCAGAAAATGTGACTAGCCTGGGTCTTCAAGCCTGTGGAACTTCAAAGTCACACCTTGAAAATGCCAATATGTGAAAAATTAAATTTTCACAAAAAAAACTGTTTAACTGGCAGATTGCATTGCCTACTAAAGCTGTATTTTAGTCCCATGTTTCTTTCCTGTAAGTTTGAGAACAGTAAGTGACATGGTTTTTCTTAAAGGTAATCATGAGAGCAGTGCCCAAAATAGGTTTTTTCAAATTTTGATGCAATATTACATAATGTTTAACAGCATAATGACCATCAATTTTTAATAATAAAATATTAGTATCATGGATATTCAGAAAATGTGACTAGCAAAGGTCTTCAGGCCCATGGAACTTCAAAGTCACAACTTGAAAATGCCAAAATGTAAACAAGACAGCACTGTTCTGAAATGTTTTTTTCCCCATTTATAACAATTTTTAACATAAAACAAAATTAACAGTTTACTGCCATTTTTATATGATCAACTAAGAAAATTGATGAGATGGGAAAAATATCAATAGAGCAGTGTTAAATGTCCAATTTCTTCCATTCTGAGATTCTGAACATAGTGAATGATTGAATCTGACAAACTGCAATGATATGAGTTTATTTCCATTTTTGAAACTTTATTACACAATACACGATAACAAGTTTACCATCATTTTTACAAAATCAACTAACAATGTTGTAAAGATGCAGGAAATGTCAAACAAACACTTTTACGTATCTTATTAGTTTAATAATGAGACTGTTAACATGCCTAAGAATTGAATCTGAGGAAATGTGAAAAATATGCTGAAAAGTGAAAAAACAGCATAACTTCTACAATAATGGCCCGATCATGCTGATTTTCGAACTTGACCTGCGTTTTATGAATATTCATCAGCTCTGTAAATATAAAGCCAAAAAGTAAAACTGCCCTCCACTTATCGTGTTTACAAGGAAAGTGCACGGCGCCGGCATCGGCATCGGCATCGGCATCGCCATCGGCGACGACAGACGCAGGTGATGGCAATATGTACAGACACATCTGTGTCTGTACATAAAAAGAAGTACAAAAGAGAAAATAAAGGTGTTAAAGAAGATTTGATGAAATAAAGTCAATATGAACAGTTAATAGACTCTATGGAGAGTATAAGGCCCAATTCAGAATAGGGTACTAACTAGTCCAAGGGTCAAATATTGCCAACCCACTTGATAACTTCTCCACAGGATATCTATTCAGTGTCTATTAACTGATTAGACAACAAGCTTTGTAGAGGTTTGCCATACTTGACCCTCAGACTAGTTAGTCCCCTATTCTAAATGAGGCCTATGAGCCAGTAATCTGACGGAGACCTGTGTAAACTTAAAAAATTTACAAGGCTGTTATACATGCAACCCAAAAGTAATTATATGAAACATAATATATATACATTTATGTACAGAAAATATGGTTAAAAGCCCTTACCTGGTTGATCTTCAGTTGTGCCAGTGTCTCCACAGTGGTTTTCAAGTTCTCCAGGGTGGGTTTCCTGCCTTGAGACAGGTCTAGGAGGATTCCTCTGTCCTTAAAACATGGCCAGTCTTGGATCTGAATGACATACAATATACATGTATGTGATTTGAATGTGAATTATCACAATTAAAACTTATTGTAATTTTCTGTATTTTTGTTTTATTTTCATTATAATTTGTTCTTAGCTCCCAAAATCTAATTTTAATTGTTATTACTTGTCTCAAACCAAAATCCATCATAAAAACATATACCTGGTAATTTGCAGTGTTACTTACAGTAATAGCTGGTATTCCCTCAGATTTGCATAACTGTAGTAATTGTATTATGGTGCAAGTGGCATAAAACATCCCTGCTCTGTCACTGGACACTATTCTGATCTGAAACAGAAAACAAAGCAGGTTTACAAGTGATATCATAGTTACAATGAGATGTAATGGGACTGACATTATGAACAGTGCAGAAAAAAAAACAAAACCATGACAGATATTGTGCAGTGAAAGTTAAGTGATGCATAAAATTTCATTCCTGACATAAAAAACAACTGGATATTTTGTGATGTGATGAATTCAGAAATACATGAGGAATGTTCACTGAAATGGATCTTTCAAACTAAGACAAAGTAAACATACTTTCTATGACTTTATTTTATTACATTATATATTTTGGACAAAAGAAAACATTTCCCTGAGATATGATTATCAAATAACTCTACAACAATTATCAATACTGGACAATGGTAAATTCATTACCTGTTTACTGGTGATAGAAATCCTATAACTTTCATCTCTCTGGAACAGTCTCCTGTTCACCTGACACTGGACACACTGTAGGTCCTGTATGTTCTTCAGGCTACCAGCTGGTATAGGCTCTAGGTGCAGCTTGATCCCCATGGCTTGGAGCACCTGCTGTCTGCCCTGCCATACCTCCAACATGTCTGATACTAGAGCTACAATATACTGTGATATGTTAGGGAGAGGCAGCAGGTACCCGGTATTTGCACTGTATCTTCACCAAATCTTTTTTTTTTAAGAACCTGCTGTCTGCCCTGCCACACTTCCAACATGTCAGATACTAAAGCTACAATATACTGTGATATGTTAGGGAAAGGCAGCGAGTATTTGCACTGGTAACTTGAAATTATTATCTTCAGTTAAGCAGACTATAGAAGAATAAATGCTGAGTACATCTCCAATATGCAGGGCATTATCCCCAAAAAAAATCAATAAATAAAATAACAATTACAAGTGGGAATGAGAGCACTTGGTTTGTTATTCACCAGTATAATCAAAATATTTAACAAATCTTTTTTTTATTGCATAATGCTACATAATCATCATAAATATTTCAAATACTTAGCTTTATATTAGCATGCTTGAACTGACCAACCATCCTTTGTACCTGAGAAGAAAATAAGACAGAGAAGAAAACTAACCAATGTAAAAATAACCCACCTGTCCCAGATTGTGCTGTTAAGAACACATGGAGTGTTTCTGGCACACTGAAGGGATCTCCATCTGTGTGGAGAAGTTTCTGTGGGCGTGGCCACAGGTAGTGAAGTCTGCTGTCAGTGTCTAGAGGCTGGGGAGGGCTGGACAACTTGGTGGCTATCGTCTTACCCTGAAATCACAGAATGACTTTGTGAACAATAGGAAAAATAAGGCAGCAAAGCTGTCAAATGTACACACACAAACCCTGAAATCACCCCCTATGTAGGCAATAGATAAAAACATGACAGGAAAGCTGTCAAATGTACACACACAAACCCTGAAATCACTCACTGACTATGTATGGAATAGGAAAAACAAGGCAGAAAAGCTGTCAAATGTACACACAAACCCTGAAATCACTCACTGACTATGTGAGCAATAAACAAAAACAAAGCAGCAAAGCTGTCAAATGTACAGATGCAAACCCTGAAATCACACACTGACTATGTAGGGAATAGGAGAAACAAGGCAGCAAAGCTATTAAATGTACAGACGCAAAGCAGAATGTTATGATTTACGCTAAAATCACAGAATGACTATGTGAGCAATGGGATATAACAAGACACAAAGCACAAAATCATAATGATTTACTTTTGAAATGTCAGACTATGGAAAAAATAAATGCACATTCTGGTCAAGCTCCAAGACTACATTTCTGTTCAGATAACTGGCAAAGATCGACTTCTATTTCTTTCTGGTGGAAATATGAGTGCTTTTTCAGCATAGGTAATAAAATTTCCTTTAAATATGCACACCTGCATTCTGAGAAAGTGTGAGAAATTATATCTTAACTCAGACTCACAATTCACAGAATGCTGTCATTACAATAGGAACAACTTTTTAGAAATAATTAAAATTTACAGAAAAGGCAATCATGGCCTTTGTTCATGTACTTTTTAATAATCATGTTGATATTATAATATATCTGTGTATATAAATACTGTGTTAGCTCACCTGCTGTGGATGATCCAGTCCCCCTTGTTTGACCAGCCCAGGGGTTAAAGGTCCATTTAGTACTGGTCCTTTACTGAGTGGACTCTGTGGTTCTTTACTAGCCAGACTGGACTCACTGTCTCTCCTTGTATGACCTACAAACAACAAACATTGACATATTTAGTACTGGTCCTTTACTGAGTGGACTCTGTGGTTCTTTACTAGCCAGACTGGACTCACTGTCTCTCCTTGTATGACCTACAAACAACAAACATTGACATATTTAATTCTTTGTCAATATTTCAGAAGTACATGTAACATTTCAAAAACTATAACTTAACAGAAACACCACACTGATCTGATAAAAATGATTTATTATTTCTACCTTAAATATCATATTTCTGAAAATCCTACACCTTCATTAAACTGTTTATAATCAAAATTGAAATAGTTATTGATTGTTTCATGGTTAACAATTTTATTTTAAAAGTAAAGTCATCATTATTTCATGTACAGGGTATAAATGACATCTTCAATTTACCAGCACTTCATTTCTAATCATTATTTTCTTTTATATACTTTTAGAAACAACACTTTATAAAAGAAACATATAAAAACACATTTAATTTAACATTCATTACCATTTTCTTCTGGTACAGTCACTAGTTGTGGTTTTTGTTCAGTTTCATTTTCACCAGAGAGCAGCACCATCTCCACGTCTGTCTTCCCCTCCGCCATATCTGATATGAATTTGTCCTTGTACTTTCTGAAAATATAAAAAATAGCAAATTTAGATAATAAAAATAATTATTATGATTATTATTGTTTACTACATAGTATTTTTACTGGCCTAAATTTAATTTTTATTATTATCAAATTCAGATAAAAACATTTCTATTGAAATGCAAGCATCTTCTTTACAACGTACATACATATATATAGATCAACATAAAATCACCAAAAGCTTTTTTTCATATTATACATGTACCCCTTAAAGAATTCTGTTTACCCTTTAATAGGTTTCATCTCTGTGCTTGCACCATGCTGAAGAAGTAAAGACACAATGCGTGGGTTTCCCCTCAGCACTGCGTCATGGAGAGGTGTCATACCATCTGCATTGGTCATATTGACTGAGGATGCTTGGCCTAAATACATGATAAATACATAGCATATTATGATAAATATGTAAATCTTAATTCCAGTTCTAGAGTCTATATACACACTATATTTTTATCACTGTATCTTTGGTGTTGGAGACCTGTTTCTTCTCACTAGGCACTACCAGTATTTTTCATAGTCCCTGGCAGACTGTGCACTGTTTGATTAATCTAATATTATATAAACATTTAAGCATATAACTGTAAGTTCACGTTGATATTACCATTGTAATATTTTATAAGACAGTATTTTTAATTTTCGAGGTCAATCTTAAAATTCAGGAGCAATGTATTTGTCAAATTTCAGGGCATCACTTAAAATGGAGTATTACCCAAAAGTAACTGCACCATGTCTTCATTTCCATAGCTAGCTGCCCAGTGGAGGGGAGAGGATTTGGTTTCTTCACTATCAACAGTGTTCATATTGAATCCCATGTTAAGGAACTTTTGGACTTTATCACAGCTGAAAGAAAATTGCACTGAACTCATTTTAAAAGTTTCTTATAAATTTCACAAATGGCAGTCAATCTGCAAATCATAAATAAAACTTGCATGACAGTAATGTGTGTGTGTGTATGCATGCTTGTATCAATGTATGTGTATGTGTGTCAACACACACAAACTCAAACTTGTGTGCATTTTTATGTGTATGTGCAAATAACCAGCATATAACCTAATGCTGTAAATTTTCTTATGCACACAAGATTTATGATTTAGATGATATGCACTATAAAAGCTGGTAATTACAACTTAGTATACACCTTACTAAAATGTAATATTTCTCACGTACTTGGATTGTGCTATACTTTGGAAGAGTTCAGATGTGTACACAGTCAAGATCTGAAGGTTGTCCTTGGCCAGATCAAGTGGAGTTTGGTCACTGCTATTGCGGATAGAAGGGTCTGCTCCAGATGATAATAAAGTCCTCACTATATCTGGATCACCCAGCTGTAAAAAGAAAAAATGTGTATCATGTACAATTTATTTATTATGTAAAAGTTTGTTACATTCAAGTGAAACTATCACTTGCTTTCAATGCTACTTATAATACCTTTATTAATACTCAGTACATGTATCACATTTAATTTTCATATATGCTTTCATTAAATTTCAAAATAAAATAAAAACATTTATGAAATAGAAGACCTCCGCTCAATAGCTCAGTGGTAGAGCACATGATCTCCAGTCATGTCAGGCATTTCCCCTAAAAGGCTACAATTATGGCAGTGGTGAAAGGAGCAGTGGACTCCATGTTTTGGCATTTGGTGTGTGTGTGTGTGTGTGTGGTGGGGGGGGGGGGGGGGGATTTAGTGACTGGCCGGGGCTGGGGTAGCCCCAGGGTAGATAGCCCAGTGGTTGAGCACTACAATGGTAAATGATTGTCCTGGGTTCAACATGGCCAAGTAAGACATTTCCCAAAAATGCTACAATATAATGTTACCTTAGTAGCCATGTGGAGCACTGTCCCTTCTTCACAAGAAATGGAGTTCAACAGTCTGTCACAAGTAAGTTCATCTGGAGTCTCACCTGTCAATCAAAAGCTCTAATTGTAAATTGTATTGACATACTGAGTACATGTACACTGTAGGCGGCTGAAGGGCCAGCAGTTATAAATTAAATACAACTACTCTTTGGAAAAGAGAACATTCAGATAAAAGCATCATACTAGTTGGGTGGTCCAAATCTGTCATGTCTCTCACAAAGTGCAATCAGGTTAACTAAATGACACACCCCCTTGAGCAGCTGAGAGGCGATTAGCCAAGTGCACGCGAATTACATTGCACCTCTAGCTGGTTGAGGAGGTGTGTCTGACATTTGAGGTCATTTCACTGATTGCACTTGGAAGTTATCTACCACAGATCTGGGCCGATCCAACTGGTACGGTGTGTCTATATGAATGGGGTCGTACTGTGTATAAACTGGTCAGTCAAATAAAAGACATCACGTACGGACTAATGCCGTAAATTATTAAGAAGGTAAGAACAAACGCACGGATTATTTGACATGGGCGGTTTTCTGTATGATTACAATATCAATATAAACAGATATTTTTTTCTGCTGTCATTATTTATCTATGAACTTACAGAAGATCTTTGGAGGAAATATTCAAACGACAAACCTGAATCACACGCCGACAGTACTGTTCGTACAATGTCAGTGCGTTGTGCTATTATAGCATCTTTTAAAGAGTTCTCAGCTTCGGCTATCAATGCCCCTTCCAACATCCTGATATCTTGTCGCAATGCACAACATCAGAGACGACGAATTCAAAACGCCATCAAGCAGCAAGGTATTCCCACTGCAGGAAGTCAATTGCAGACGAAATGTCCACGCTGGAGTGACATGCGCACACACTCCCTTCTCAACACGAAGGGCCTCAGATTTTAGACCCAAAATGGTTTATTCTGTGGTCTTTTATTGTGAAATTGGTTCAGTGTGATATTCACATCGTGTTGTTTTTAACAGGTTGATTTCGTGGATGCTTTCCTTTGGCCTAAAGTTATTCTATGATTATATTTTTAAACAGCTGAATTAGTCTGTCTTGTGACCTTGACATTGTACACTTTCATAAAAATTTCATGCACGATGTCGGCGGTAACAAGATTATTTCTGTCGTCAACACGTCCCACTGGTGCACTCAAATTCATAAGGGCTACATTTGCTACTCAGCCAGGGAGCAAAGAACACATCGAAAGTCTTATAAAAGACAAAAAACTGGTAGTATTTATGAAGGGCACCCCTGACGCTCCACAGTGCGGGTTCAGTAATGCGGTTGTTCAGATTTTAAGATTCCATGGCGTGAACGAATTTGATTCATATAACGTTTTACAGGATGAAAATGTCAGACAAGGTCAGTGAACGCAACCTGTGTGTTATGCAGACTGTTTAACTTTAGATTTTGTTTTTTATTTCTGGGATTCGAGTCTGATAACTATTTGAAAGACCTCTTTCAAAAATGGGGTGGGTGGGTTACATGGCATATGAAATGATAGCTGGAAATTGAAATGGTGACTTGTGTCGAAAAACAGATGGATGAATTATTATTATTATTATTATTTTGACTATTCCATAGTAGGTTTCCTTTCTGTCTCCCCAGTAGAAACTTTATTTATCTCATTATATCATGAAAAAGGGAGAGAAAATAACATATAACTGCCAAACAAAATGAAACCTCAAAAATTATTTTCAAACGCCAACAGGAATAATTGAAGTTCTTAACAAATTTAAGAGGTACCTAGTACGATTAATTTTAAGAATCCGAATAGATACTACTGAGATTTTAACGTCAATTTCAGTATGGAAGTGACTGTTTGAATAATTCCATATATTGCAGGCTTAACATATTAAATGCATTCTCATGCCACCTGGTTTTTACTACCCCAATAACTTTATTAAAATTGCTAAACAAACTCAAAATTTGCTAGCCATTTTTGTTATTCATCAGATATACCTATTTTGGAAGGGATAAGTTATAAAAAATACTGCAAAAGTATTATAATAATAACAGTAATTTACCAGTTATGTTAATTTACTTTGAGCAAAGTTTTATTTTTGATTGATATGATAATCAAGTTTAAGTATTTTGTAATACAAAAAAGAAAGTTTCAATGATCTGTATACTTAACTAGTAGTATATTTCCACATTTTCCTCTTGATAGGCCTAACTATACTTTTAAATTGAGAGCTGAAAGTTGCAGAAAATGTCATTGATTATAGTCAAGTTTCTGTTACTTTTCTAGGCATCAAAGACTACAGTAATTGGCCCACCATCCCACAAGTTTACATCAATGGGGAATTCATAGGAGGCACGGATATCATGATTGAAATGCATAAAAATGGAGAGCTGATTGAAGAGCTTGAAAAAATTGGTATTCGCTCAGATTTATTAGACAATCCAGACAAACAAGCGTGATACATGTAGTCTGAAGCAGTGATGGAGTGGAAGGATGCTGTTACACATTGTCTGGGGGACTTAAATCCAGGTTTTCACCCCAGAGGAGGATTATAATCCATACAAACAACATGGCATGCATTAGGAATGACAAATCTGAAAATAGAAAGAGATATTGGGCTCGTTTTTGAACAAGTGTAAGATAGGATTGGTTTCTCACCCAGAGGGATTTTAATTTAATAAAAAAGGAGTACTAGTATGTCTGAACACTGAACATAATTATTGAAACAATAAAATAGAACAATCCGCAAAGGTTATGTAATCCAATACTCACAGCAAAGACACCTGGTTAGCCTGAACAGCATTGTTTAATAGTAATTATGTGTTAGTATTGTTACTCTTATTTGTTCCTTATATATTTTATTTTATTAAGACGGCATAGACAAACTGAAGTAGCACAAGTGTACTAACAAACAAGTGCATGTTATTAATCTCATTTTAATGCCAAAGTGTTGTTTATAGATTGAAAAATGATATTGTATTTTAAAAAGCACATTATATAAATTCCATTTTTGTAAGGCTTCATAACTTGGGAGGTTTTATGGTTAAAAAAAAATTCAGGGTTAAAGGTTTTTAAGGAAACATATGAAGTAAATGCGCTTTAGTTAAAAATATGTGTCAGTTTCTTACACAAAACCAGTAATATCCATATGTCAAAAAGATTTGAAAGTTTTTTTAAATGAACAGATATTAATGTCTTGCAACAGAGCAAAAAGGATTCAAATCTGTACTTGCAGAATTTTGGTGCTAAATTTGACGTAGTTACTAGTATTTTCCCTTTGGTCCATATCATAGAGAAAGTAAACAAAACTATCTGCAAATATTATTTTATGGGAAATAATATTTAAAAACTGGGATGATTCTGTAGGTTACACTATTTGCAACAGTATTGTGGCATTTGACGACGATTTCACATAAAGACTCTTCATATGCATCTTTAATAGTTGTATTTGTAATCTTCCTTTGAATAACCCCTGTAAAATATAAAAGTTGATATTAGATGTACTGACCTACCCCCTGGCAAAGACTAAGAGACCATTCCCAGAGACTATCGAACTATCTCCAAGGGGATTCTCTCTTAATTGCAATTAACTAAAGTGGCTTAAATGTCTGTCATGCCTACTGAAGCTGATAGGGGGTAATTAACTATCGTTTAGCAACTTAAGTAGGCGTGCCAGACATCTTGAAAGCAAATTAACGAGAAACCCTGTGGAGATGGACCGATCTTGTTAGATCGATCTAGGAATGGGAACCCAGTCTGTGATGTGTTTGGCTTACAGCTGCTCACAGTACAACAGTTCATTCCGTACACAGAAACCTCAGAAGTGCGTAGCCACCCAGTGTCCCAGCATTGCCACCAGACAGATACCATACTACAACTTTTACGTAACAGTCTCAGGTCACAGCTGTATCACAGACTAATCTCTAGTGCATAGCAAGGCTAAACATATTTTTTTCATTTGTATTATGGATAATTTAGAATGCTTTCTTGTTTTTAAAACTGTTTAAAATATAAAATATGAATTTTATTTATTTTTTTTCGTTTACAAAAGTGAACTCTGAACACAATAATGATAGTTATACAGCAAAGTCTGAAATAATTTCTGGCTCAGTTACAAGGTATGTACAGTGTAACAGCCAAGCTGTTTCTTGTATCAATATAGATGTGATGTTCTGGTATATTTTTCAAAGCACATGATACTAAGACATCCGAATTCCTCAATTTTTACACACTACATCAGATTCAAGGGATGTAAATTTTGTATAGACTTTCAGTTAAGTTGATTGATAGATGTTAGCTTGTTGAAAAAAGAACAAGAGTGATTGACTGAGAATTAACTGTCCCACCCCATTGACTGTTTGTCACTGATTGCTATACTCTCTTTCTCTCTGTTAAACTTATATAATTCCTATAAACTGAGAAGTGATGCTATAAAACTATACTACATAAACTATATAAAGAATACTAGAATCTTGCTACTCTTCACAAGTTGGTTACCTTCGCCTTCACATATTTTTCATTCTGCCTCAACAGCATAAAAAATATACTCAAATGCAATCATTTGTCCATATATATATATATATATATATATATATATATATATATATATATATATATATATATATATATATGATCTCCTCCCATTCTGATAACCTATTGGACATGGCATGCCTAGTATACAATAAATGTATACATTGTCCTCTAGAAAGAGAAAACAATAATTTGTGTTCATGGATTGGATCTCTGATTTTTCATACTTTTAAAACTTTTAAATTGTTTTCTTAGTTTTTTCATTGACAAAATTAAAAGGCAGACACTAAGTAACATGAAGGTGCCATTCTACTTACCTAAATCCATATTTGAACAAAATATAGTTTCCACACAAATGCTACTGATTTTCCTATAACCCTTAATACGAAGTACACATAAATTTGCTGTACATAATTTTTTTTTAAGTCGCCTGCTTTATAACCATATTAAAATAATAAATGTAACAATGGTCCTAAAGTTGATTAAAAACTACCACTAGGTGTCAGCACCTTACATTTCTTAAGGACAGAGCTTAATTTCTTTTTTATCAGAAGAAGCATGGCATGTATCAATGTAGATAAAAGTATCAAAATTATCCATTGTTAAATATAATATAAAGGAACATAAATGTTATTAATATTGTCTTTATAATAGTGTGCATGTGTATCACAGAGGGATATAACACCCTTTAAAATTAATGATATTTAGTCATGATTCTTGCTCACAAATTTTTTAAGTGAAAATATACTGAAACCATGTAACCATTCACTCAAATTGCGCCAAGGGGAGGGGTTCTTTTACACAAGGCAACACTGGGTATCTTTGTGTTTATAATTCTACAAATTGTTGAGAAAAGCAATAAATAAATAAAAATGTAAATAAAAAATGTAAATAAAAACACTTGTTGTATGTCTTTGCCCCAGAATCTAATTAATAATGCAATTAAGCATTATCAAGAGTTCATAAAATTATAAGGCTTAAAAGTTTCATAAAAATTTTGAAACATTTCTTGCAACAATACCAGTAGTCTATATGGATCAATTTTGATACAATTACTAGAGTGAAAATATTAAGGTAGTCCTCTCATATNTATTAAGTAGCAACCCTGTACATATAGGCAGCTGAAGGGCCAGCAGTTATAAATAAAATACAACTACTCTTTGTAAAAGTGAATTAGAGAGCATTCAGATAAAAGCATCATACTAGTTGGGATGGTTCAAATCTGTTGTGGCTCTTGCTAAGTGCAATCAGGTTAACTAAATGACACACCCCCTTGAGCAGAGAGGTGATTAGCCAAGTGCACGCGAATTACCTCTAGCTGGTTGAGGAGGTGTGTCTGACATTTGAGGTCATTTCACTGATTGCACTTAGCAGTTATCTACCACAGATCTGGGCCGATCCAACTGTGTGCCTACCTGAATGGGGTCTTACTGTGTATTTAAACTATTCAGTCAAATAAAAGACACCACAGAATAATACCGTTAATTATTAAGAATGAAAGGACAAACTCAAGAATAATTTGACATGGGCGGTTTTCTGCATGATTAAAATATCAATATTAACAGATATTTTTTCTGCTGTCATTATTTATCTATGAACTTACAGAAAATCTTTGGAGGAAATATTCAAACGACAAACCTGAATCACACGCCGACAGTACTGTTCGTACAATGTCAGTGCGTTGTGCTATGATAGCATCTTTTAAAGAGTTGTCCGCTTCGGCTATCAATGCCCCTTCCAACATCCTGATATCTTGTCGCAATGCACTACATCAGAGACGACGAATTCAAAACGCCATCAAGGTATTCCCACTGCAGGAAGTCAATGCAGACGAAATGTCCACGCTGGAGTGACATGCGCACACGCTCCCTTCTCAACACGAAGGGCCTCAGATTTTAGACCCAAAATGGTTTATTCTGTGGTCTTTTATTGTGAAATTGGTTCAGTGTGATATTCACATAGTGTTGTTTTTAATAGGTTGATTTCGTGGATGCTTTCCTTTGGCCTAAAGTTATTTTATGATTATATTTTTAAACAGCTGAATTAGTCTGTCTTGTGACCTTGACATTGTACACTTTCATAAAAATTTCATGCACGATGTCGGCGGTAACAAGATTATTTCTGTCGTCAACACGTCCCACTGGTGCACTCAAATTCATAAGGGCTACATTTGCTACTCAGCCAGGGAGCAAAGAACACATCGAAAGTCTTATAAAAGACAAAAAACTGGTAGTATTTATGAAGGGCACCCCTGACGCTCCACAGTGCGGGTTCAGTAATGCGGTTGTTCAGATTTTAAGATTCCATGGCGTGAACGAATTTGATTCATATAACGTTTTACAGGATGAAAATGTCAGACAAGGTCAGTGAACGCAACCTGTGTGTTATGCAGACTGTTTAACCTTAGATTTTTTTTATTTCTGGGACTCGAGTCTGATAACTATTTGAAAGACCTCTTTCAAAAATGGGGTGGGTGGGTGACATGGCATATGAAATGATAGCTGGAAATTGAAATGGTGACTTGTGTCAAAAAACAGATGGATAAATTATTATTATTATTATTATTATTATTATTATTATTATTATTTTGACTATTCCATAGTAGGTTTCCTTTCTGTCTCCCCAGTAGAAACTTTATTTATCTCATTATATCATGAAAAAGGGAGAGAAAATAACATATAACTGCCAAACAAAATGAAGCCTCAAAAATTATTTTCAAACGCCAACAGGAATAATTGAAGTTCTTAACAAATTTAAGAGGTACCTAGTATGATTAATTTTAAGAATCCGAATAGATACTACTGAGATTTTGTCAATTTCAGTATGGAACTGACTATTTGAATAATTCCATATATTGCAGGCTTAACATATTAAATGCATTCTCATGCCACCTGGTTTTTACTACCCCAATAACTTTATAAAAATTGCTAAACAAACTCAAAATTTGCTAGCCATTTTTGTTATTCATCAGAAATACCTATTTTGGAAGGGATAAGTTATAAAAAATACTGCAAAAGTATTATAATAATAACAATAATTTCCCAGTTATGTTAATTTACTTTGAGCAAAGTTTTATTTTTGATTGATATGATAATCAAGTTAAAGTATTTTGTAATACAAAAAAGAAAGTTTCAATGATCTGTATGCTTACTAGTAGTATATTTCCACATTTTCCTCTTGATAGGCCTAACTATACTTTTAAATTGAGAGCTGAAAGTTGCAGAAAATGTCATTGATTATAGTCAAGTTTCTGTTACTTTTCTAGGCATCAAAGACTACAGTAATTGGCCCACCATCCCACAAGTTTACATTAATGGAGAATTCATAGGAGGCACGGATATCATGATTGAAATGCATAAAAATGGAGAGCTGATTGAAGAGCTTGAAAAAATTGGTATTCGCTCAGATTTATTAGACAATCCAGACAAACAGGCATGATACATGTAGTCTGAAGCAGTGATGGATTGGAAGGATGCTGTTACACATTGTCTGGGGGACTTTAATCCAGGTTTTCACCCCAGAGGAGGATTATAATCCATACAAACAACATGGCATGCATTAGGAATGACAAATCTGAAAAAGAGAGAGATATTTGACTTGTTTTTGAACAAGTGTAAGAGAGGATTGGTTTCTCACCCACAGATTTTAATTTAATAAAAAAGGAGTATGTCTGAACACTGAACATAATTATTGAAACAATAAAATAGAACAATCTGCAAAGATTATGTAATCCAATACTCACAGCAAAGACACCTGGATAGCCTGAACAGCATTGTTTAATAGTAATTATGTGTTAGTATTGTTACTCTTATTTGTTCCTTATATATTTTATTTTATTAAGACGGCATAGACAAACTGAAGTAGCACAAGTGTACTAACAAACAAATGCATGTTATTAATCTCATTTTAATGCCAATATGGTGTTTATAGATTAAAATGAAATTGCATTTTAAAAAGCACATTATATAAATTCCATTTTTGTAAGGCTTCATAACTTGGGAGGTTTTATGGTTTAAAAAAAAACAGGGTTAAGGATTTTCAAGGAAACATATGAAGTAAATGCGCTTTAGTTAAAAATATGTGTCAGTTTCTTACACAAAACCAATAATATCCATATGTCAAAAAGATTTTTAAAAAAATTTAAATGAACAGATATTAATGTCTTGCAACAGAGCAAAAAGGATTTAAAACTGTATTTGCAGAATTTTGGTGCTAAATTTACTAGTATTTTCCCTTTGGTCCATATCGTAGAGAAAGTAAACAAAAATATCTGAAAATATTAATAATATTATTATTTTATTGGAAATAATATTTAAAAACTTGGGTGATTCTGTAAGTTACACTATTTGCAACAGTATTGTGGTATTTGACGATGAATTCACTTTCAAAGACTATTCATATGCATCTTTAATAGTTGTATTTGTTTTCTTCCCTTGAATAACTCCTGTAAAATATTAAAGTTGATTTTAGATGTACTGTCTTACCCCCTGGCAAAGACTAAGAGACAATTCCCAGAGACTATCGTACTAACTTTGGATTGAACTATCTCCAAGGGGATTCTCTCTTAATTGCAATTAACTAAAGAGGCTTAGATGCCTACTGAAGCTGATAGGAGGTAATTAACTATCGTTTAGCAACTTCAGTAGGCGTGCCAGACATCTATGCCAAAAAAGCTGAAAGCAAAATAACGAGAAAGCCTGTGGAGATGGACTGATCTTGTTAGATCGATCTAGGTATGGGAACCCAGTCTATGATGTGTTTGGCTTACAGCTGCTCACAGTACAACAGTTCATTGCGTACACAGAAACCTCAGGAGTGCGTAGCCACCCAGTGTCCCAGCATTGCCACCAGACAGATACCATACTACAACTTTTACGTAACAGTCTCAGGTCACAGCTGTATCACAGACTAATCTTTAGTGCATAGCAAGGCAACATATTTTTTCATTTGTATTATGGATAATTTAGAATGCTTTCTTGTTCTTAAAACTGTTAAAAATATAAAATATGAATTTAATTTTTTTTTTTTTTTCGTTTTTATTTTTTACAAAAGTGAACTCTGAACACAAGAATGATAGTTAAACAGCAAAGTCTGAAATAATTTCTGGCTCAGTTACAAGGTATGTACAGTGTAACAGCCAAGCTGTTTCTTGTATGTATAGATGTGATGTTCTGGTATGTTTTTCAAAGTACATGATACTAAGACATCCAAATTCCCTATATTTTTACATACTACATCAGATTCAAGGGATGTAAATTTTGTATTGACTTTCGGTTAAGTTGATTGATAGATGTTAGCTTGTTGAAAAAAGAACAAGAGTGATTGACTGAGAATTAACAGTCCCACCCTATTGACTGTTTGTCACTGATTGCTATACATTCTTTCTCTCTGTAAAACTTATATAATTCCTATAAACTGAGAAGTGATGCTATAAAACTATCTTATATAAACTATATAAAGAATACTAGAATCTTGCTACTCCTTTCACAAGTTGGTTACCTTCGTCTTCACATATTTTTCATTCTGCCTCAACAGCATAAAAAATACACTCAAATGCAATCATTCATCCATATATATATATATATATATATATATATATATATATATATATATATATATATATATATATATGACCTCCTCCCATTGTGATAACCTATTGGACATGGCATGCCTAGTATACAATAAATGTATACATTGTCCTATAGAAAGAGAAAACTTTAATTTGTTTTCATGGATTGGATCTCTGATTTTTCATACTTTTAAATTGTTTTCTTAGTTTTTTCATTGACAAAATTAAAAGGCAGACACTAAAGAAACATGAAAGTGCCATTCTACTTTAACTAAATCCATATTTGAACAAAATAGTTTCCACACAAATGCTACTGATTTTCCTATAACCCTTAACACGAAGTACACATAAATTTGCTGTACATAATTTTTTAAAGCCGCCTGCTTTATAACCTTATGAAAATAATAAATGTGTCAAGTTGATTAAAAACTACCACTAGGTGTCAGCACCTTACATTTCTTAAGGACAGAGCTTAATTTCTTTTTTATCAGAAGAAGCATGGCATGTATCAATGTAGATAAAAGTATCAAAATTATCCATTGTTAAATTATAATAAAAAGGAACAGAGATGTTATTTATATTGTCTTTATAATAGTGTGCAGGTGTGTCCTGAGGGATATAACATCCTTTAAAATTAATGATATTTAGTCATGATTCTTGCTCACAACTTTTTAAGTGAAAATATACTGAAACTACTGAAACCATGTAACCATTCACTCAAATTGCGCCAAGTGGAGGGGGTTCTTTTACACAAGGCAACACTGGGTATTTCTGTGTTTATAAGTCTACAAATTGTAGAGAACAGCAATAAATAAATAAAAATGTAAATAAATTGTATAAATAAAAACACTTGTTGTATGTCTTTGCCCCAGAATCTAATTAATAATCCAATTAAGCATTATCAAGAGTTCATAAAATTATAAGGCTTAAAAGTTTCATAAAGATTTTGAAACATTTCTTGCAACAATACCAGTAGTCTATATGGATCAATTTTGATACAATTACTGTAGTGAAAATATTAAGTTGGAATTTAATTTATTTACTACTGTATTTTGCCATGGTTCAAATGACATAGGGGTTTGTGGTAAAATAACTGGTTTCCCGAAAAATAGTTGAAAGACTTTAGTCATTTCAAATTATTCACACAATTTTTATGCCTGTTATAATTTTTAAGGATTATCAATCAAGGAAAATATCACATTGGTTTGATTAACATGGTACAATTAATGTGTCAATCAAAATCCATCAGCAGTAAATATGGCACAGTATTTGACCTGTTTGATCAATGAGGTTCTTCTATAGTGTCAAATGTTTTCAAACCCGTTTCATTGCATTTGTATGCTGTTTACTGTAGCACGCCGATATTTCTTTGACCCAATTTCTGTGCATGAAATGAGATGAATAGGATTTCCAGTGTATACAAATGACGTCACAACTTACAACTAAATATGATTGGTCGACAGCCTACGACGACATTTGCATGAGAAATATCAATGTACCCTGGAATTTTTGCAACTTTTAAGGAAAATACACCACTCGTCCAACTACTAAAGAACTATGAATTTAAAGCAACTGTGTAGCTTGAGACTGAAATGAGTTGCAATGTTGCATTAAGGCATTTTGCCCAGTAACTGCTTGTCCTTCTCTTATGCACAGATCTGCCTTGGTCTTTATTATTTGCATAATGTACATGGACTGGTGTACTGACTTGGTAGGCCATTAAGAGGCTTTGCACGTGCCCCAAATCATTCCGCGTTACTCCGGAAATCGTTTGAAAGATTCTAAGAATATGGATTTTATAAATATAGAGCATTTCAACTTAATGTTTATATAAATATTTGAAGGTTATAATGATATGAAGTTTTCAAGTTCGCCATATAGTTCCACTGGGAAACTAGTTATGAACTCATTTATTGCGCAGGCTCAAGATGAATGAGGGTGCTGTAAGGTTACCATTTCCTGTCTGATGAGTTGATGTTTCACGACCATTTTCTTATAAAGTATGATGGTGTACGTCAACGTATAATATGTCAGAGGAAGGCGAGTCAATCCAAGAGTAAGTAAATTTCATTTTAAAAGCGATCTGGGTATCACAGCGGTGCCATCGTGGCCGCTTTATGTGGGCCAGTCCGCGACTTAGGTGGTGGCCCTTAATATCGGTCTGCGGATTTTACTCTTCTAAAATTGGTATTTTGTTGTGTCATTTTCTAAAATAACATTCGGACAGTTGACTTTCCATACTGACAACACCTATCCTTCTTAACAACTGGCCAGACGCCACTGGGGACGTTAGAAACCAACAGCCCCTAGTCGCCGCCATGTTCCAGCACGGTCCATGGCAGCTCATTCATAAATTTGTTATCAATGAATGTGGGGACTGAATGATACGGCGCTGGAAGTAGTTAGTGGACGCAGCGCTCATTCAGTCGCCTATCATAAGATTAATTTGCCGGAGGATTGCAATTCACAGATAGACACTTGTTATTGGCAGAGATACCATATTTAAATGAGTAGTACATAGTTTGTTACATATATATTTTTTATTTATGCCTGACCCTGCTCCTGTAATTCACGATGTTTCCCAGTAATCATGATACTGGCAATATTGATTTCTGGTGTTGATTTAATTGCTGTGGTAATTACCAGTGCTAGAAGTTATATTGATGTCATTTGATTTCCACTGATAATCTGTGAGTTAGGTGTGATCTAATAAGTTCATGTAACATCAGTAATGGCCACGGCACAGGTTGACTTGATAGTTGCTACATATGCAATTTACTAAATGGTGGCAGCATATCTAATGAACGGTATGTGTAAAGACCATGCATTAATTGATGCAGTGGATAATTTTATAGAGGATTTTTGCATTCTGGGATTTATTTATTTATTTTTTATTTTTTATTTTTTTTTTTTTTGGGGGGGAGGGGGTCCATTTATTTATATGCTTATTTAGAAATCAATTTTGGTGTGATTTTGCTAAACGAGTTTTAATAGAAAATAATTAACAATGATTACTAAATGACATAAGATAAAGAAAAGCCTGCCCAGTTGATGACATTGGTATGCCCTTTTAATAATCATCTGTCTACTTCTTAATACCCACCCTCCCAAAAATAATAAAAAACAGTAAAAATAAGTATGATTCTAAAGGTAAATGTGTCATATTACCCAAAACTAAATAGGCAGTGGCTCTGATAACCATATTGAATTTTATTTTTTATTTTTCCCAAAGATATAACTTGTTTGCATATTAATTTACATTAATGATGTATTAATATCACTTTTGATTTCAGTTGTGTATACAGTTGTCACATGTATTACCTTCACCATCTTTCTTTATCATTTTAAAAACATTATTGATTTAATATTGACTTTGTGAGAACTTTTAAAGTAGTACAATAAGTTCAGTTTGTCCACACAAATTATTGCGATGCAGAGGTCAAAGCCCACTTGTAATTTTTAAGGTTTTCTGAGACTCTTATATACAAGTATTCAGTGTGGAATATTC